AAAAATACCAAATAAATGTATAAAAATATACAAAAATTACCCCAATTATATCTTAGGGTAAATATGAGAATGAAATAAATTATTCACTAAAAAATGCTAGTTTGGGAATAATTATTGAATTTTGTAGTATTAAAATAGACAATAAATTGGTTTTAAAATCTTAAAAAAAATAAAGGAAAAATACCAAAACTTTGTGGCATGCTTATATATGCCTGTACATGCTATTTTGAAAGTATTTTGCATATATAAAAATATAAAGAAAAATTGGGTATCAACACTCATATCTAGGATCGCTTCTCTGACCTCCTCTCCACTTACCATTTGTGATAGTAAGTCATTGTCTTCCCTGGTTATAGATTCTGTGATGCAGCTGATTACATCCCTACTTACAACAGTAGCATTGAGATTAAACATGGACTCAAAATGTCGAACAGCAGCCTTGGATATCTTATCATCCCCTTGAATCCATCTTCCTCTATGATTCTTCACTCTGTGGAGTTGTAATCTTCTTCTTCTATCCTTGATAGCATTGTGAAAGTATCTAGTATTGCAGTCTCCTTCCTCGAACCATTTTATTTGGGATTTTTGCTTGAGCATTGATTCTTGCATTGCCATCCATCGTACATATTCTGCTTGAGCTTTGTTCAATTCTGTTCTGGACTATTCTGTGTTGTTACTTTGATCCAGCTCTTCCAGTCTTTGTACCACTCTTTCCCATTCATCCACCTTTTTATACACATACCCAATGACTTCTCTAGACCTTCTACTAAGTTTCCTGCCCAGTGCTTTTAGTTTCTGCTGAAGTCTCCACATAGGATTCCCAGCCACTTGTCTATCCCATACCTCTTGGACTAATTCATAGAATCCTGGTTGATCAACCCAGAATTCTAAGAATTAGAAGTACTTAATATGGTCAGCTTGATCCTCTTTATGTTTCACTAGTAAGGGTCTATGGTCTGATCCTGATCTATTGAGATGCCTCACTATTGTATTCTGGAATTTATGGATCCATGAATCATTAGTGAGGACTCGATCGAGCCTTTTCCATACTCTTTTCCTGGGACACCAATTATTACACCAGGTATATATAGATCCGACATATCCTGCATCTGACACCCCGCAAAGGTCAAGAGATTATGCAAAATCATAGCTTTTTGAAGCTTTATGTGGCCTACCTCCCAGTTTTTCGCAAGGTTCCAAAATAACATTGAAGTCACCACCTATACACCATGTACCATCAACTTGTGATTCTGTATTCACCAAACTTTTCCACAAGTCTTTCCTTTCCCCAGTAGTACACTTTGCATAAACAGCAGTTTTGAAGATCCCATCATCCTCATTATTTGATTCAAATCGTAGAGTCATCTGTTGATCATCCATGCTTATCACGTTGGCATTCACATATTCTGACCAAAAGCACCATATTTGTCCAATCTCGTTAGACATACAATGTTCAAAACCCAGGAACCTTTTGTATCCCTCTATTTTTTGTTTGTGAACAAATGGTTCAAAGATCGCAGCAAACTGAACCTTATTTTTCTTAACTAAGTTTTTAAGCCTATGATTGGCTTTTTGAGACCTCATTCCCCTAATATTCCAGAATATTGTACTGATCATCAATCAGTTAGAATTGTTGGCTTTGTGTCCTCCCCTCAGAGTGAGGTTTGGATTTAAGTTTCCTTTCTTTTCCACTTTTCTTGCATCTGCTTCTGCCTCTGCTTCTTCCTCTAGGGAACAACCCTTCGTTATCCACCACCTGTTTTAGATGTTGTTGGAAGCTATCTTCTTGCTCATCAATCAGGCTGTCTACTTGTTCATCTTCCGAGCTATTAGGAGCCTCCTCCTCAAGTTGCTTTAAACAGTCATCATTCGATGTTTGTATAGGCAACTTGTTTGTAGTTTGGAGAGTCATCTGATGCTTCCCCAGATCCACCACCAGTTGTATACCAGGCTGGTTCTTAATTTCTGATCCTAGGCTTGACGACTTCAATATAGACTCCTCTACTCTTTGAATGTTGCTGCCAGATTTTTCAATATAGGCCTGCTTTGTTTTTCCTTGTACTTCAGAGCTAGTTTGTGGTATGTCATTTGTCTTCTTCTCCACATTGTCTATATTATTAGAGGTCTCCATTCTGTGAGTTGTACCCGCCATTTGGTCCTCTTCTTGCCCGGCCTGTTCCCCCCTTTGATGAGGTTCTCTATGATCATTTGCTTTGCTTTATTTCTGTTCTCTATCAGGTTGCTTGTCCCCGGTTTGAAAGTCACATTTGGTTTCTTTTTAGCAGCCTTCTTTGCACATCCATTCTTCTTCTTCTTCCTTCTTGTTCTCTTCCTCATTGTATTGTCTTCTTCTGTGCTGTCTATCTTTTCTGCGATGGGTGCTGCATTCTCAGGCTTGTTTTCATTTTTGTCATATTGTTTTTCATTAGTTTCATTAACTTCCATCCCTCCCCGTTCTTTCCTCTTTTCTGTTCCCACTGCTCCTCTGCTACTTGCCTCGTCTCCTGGAATAATTATCTGTTGAGTAGCTTGTTGTGGCTTACCCTTTTCTTTGCTTTCATCAGTCAACTTGTCTGCCTCTTCACTACCCTCTTGTGCCTTTTCTTCCATTCTTTCTATCTCCCTTTGTTCTACCTGTTTCTTCTTCTCCAAAACCCTGCATTCGATCAACGAATGCCCGAGCTTTTTACAATGCCTACAGTACTTAGGAACTCCTTCGTACTCCACCATCTGTGTAAAGCCACTCAATGGAGAGTCTTCATCATCTGAACCTACCCAGACACTAGTTAGCAATGGCTTCAGTAGGTCAACCTCCACTCTAACCTTCGCCATGCTAGGACGGGTCCTGCAGGCAGTAGCTATGTCCATCTCTAATGGAATTCCAACTGCACTGGCTACCTGCTTGACATAGTGCCAAGTGTGCATGTGAAATGGAAGCTGAGGTAATAAAATCCAAACTGGGACAATTGGGATGTCTTCTTCTGGTTTAAAATCTGGCGTCCATTTCTGGAGCCACATTTGACGGCCTTCAATTTCAATAACCCTCCTGAACCATATTGTGTTGACATCCTCATCGTTGGTAAAATCCAGGAACACATTGTGATTATCATAGACTCCAATTTTAACTGATCCCTTTAGGGCGAATTTCTCCGTAAATCTCGATCTAATTTTCTCAATTTGTGGTCTGATTTTGATAAATCTCCCCACAATGGTTCTTCTACATTCCTCCGCCATAACTCCATAATAGTCCTTTGCTTTGAAGATTATAGCAGGTATTCCGTTATGTGTTGTCTTCCTTGCAGTTACAGCTTCGCATCCCCGGTGAGTGGATGATGCAGATGTAGGAGGAGCTGTGGTCACTCTAGTGGCATATGAGATCTTCCCTGTGTTTCCATCCAAAGGTTGAATCGGCGCTTCTTGGAGTTTCGTTTGGGCTGCCGAACGCGCCGGATTAGCGCTGCCCGGTGGCTCCATGGGGAGGGGCGTGGATATTTAGGACGTAGACGGTGGTCTTATGATTGGGATTTTATCGGGCGCGTGAGGCGCGTAGTTTATTTTCTTACTTGCATATGTTTTTTATCATTGTTTTGTATCTGTTACTCACAATTGGAGACTGTAATTGACGGAAGACAAGCTGCTAATGAATTGCTACTTAAAAAGAGAAAGTATTGGCCCTTTCAGCATTAAAAGAGTAATGTATGTGGGTCTGTAAGTGAGTGGACTACACAAAAATCGTCTTTTTTTGTTCCCTTTTCTTTCTATATTCCACTTCTGAAAATCCTTTGAGGATTGCGTGGCAGTTCAAGTCCTAGAGGTTATGAGTATCATCTCATTTAAGATACTTTAGAGGAAATACATGCCAACAATAAATAGTACATTCTTCGAAGCGTAGTGACAGTTTTACTCATTTTTGATATATTTCTATTATATAGAAGAGCCATAATGGTCGACCAAGGGTATTTAAGTAATTTCGTAACTGATTTTAGTTAAATTTTTATTGTTTTGGTGACACACGTGTACACAACTCATCTAGAACAATCCTCCGAATAGCTTTCTTTCACCATTACTTTGTTCAATCATCTGCGGATCTGCCATTGGCCATTGCTGGCGAGTTCGAGCAGCAATCTTCTAGCAGTACTCCATTTGTATTGACCTTTCTCTCTAACCTTTCCTTATCCTTAGTATCCTCTTTGAGAGATTTCTTGTTGCCTTTGATTTGCTTGGTCCTATCCTCTTCTAAATTTTGCTTTGGCACAACAGTATCCCAATGGTTAGCATCTTCTTACCCATAGTTGAAACCAGAGGTGAGTAGAGGTATCTACCAATTTTTTATGGTTACTTTTAAGTTTAATATTGTCAATTTTTTTCACTACTTATGCTTAGACTCATGCGAAGGGAATTGTTCAAGCATTTTGGACTACTTTTTCTCATTAAGGAAATGATATAGATGCTCGAAATTCGACTCAATGTGCTGGAATTGATGAGGCATTGTGCTCTTGACATAGGAGGTTTAACGAATTAAGGAGCAATTAGATTTTGAATACAACTATGTGTTTTACAATTTGGGATAAATTTGTGCGCTTGCCGCTACAGCTTTTTTAGTATCTGCATAGATCGAAGCAAACGCTCTTATATTCCTGTACTTTCCATCGTCAAGCTCCATGTTTTCCAATGTTTCTCTTTTGATTTTTCTTCTAAACCTCCTGTTGAATGAGGTTTGAAATTGATTCATGATCCGAAAAGGCAGCTTCTTATTTTACTTTCTTTATTTTATTATTTCAACAATGAAAACATTTTTTGGAGTTGCATAATGCGCTTAATTGGTTGTCAATGTGTAATCAATGCAGAGTATGGGATTTTTAATATCACAAAGGTGACAAATTTGTGATTAGTTCTTGAATCTTTATAGTTTAACCGAAAAAGATGGAGGGAGCATTATTCCCATCAACTTACACCTTTAATGTAATAACATACATTAGCTATTATCGACAAAAGCAGCATGAAGAGGCCGTGTAAAAGAGGCCGTGTAAAAGGTTGCGAGTTTACAAACGCGCACGCTATGATTCTCTTGTTTAAAACTTCATTGTGACGAACCAAATAATCATCGATTTTTTGACAGATATAGAAGGAAAATTGATAAAAATCATGTGTAGATCTCTGTTTGGTTTCATTAATTTAAATTTTAGTTTCTTATTTTTGTGGTTTCAGATTTTTGATGTTCCGTTTCAAGGACTCAAATGCTACTTAGATTTCAAATCTCACACCCATCTTGGAGGTGCGAAATCAAAAGAATTTTTTTTACTAAAGAGATACTTACACATGATGAAAGAAAAACTGCAGATGTTTCAATTCACATGTCCTGGTGACACTAAAAAGGTCGTTGCAGATGAAAGAAAAGCTGCTAAGATTTCATTCCACATTTTCTGTTGTTTTAAGAGTGTGTTTTCACTTTCAATGCATCACCATCTACTCATCTGAAAGTTGTTTATGCATTATATTCTCTTTTGTGGGTCAATTTGGGATTAGAAGTATGAAAAATGAAAAGTTGGAAGATCTGGGTGATTTAAGAAATGCAAATAATCATAGTGTACCGTTAGAACCTGAAACTACCAGAGTGACAAATACACAATTAGAAATTGAGAAGGTAATTGACACTAAAAGTATACTGAAGTTAAATGTACTGTATGCTGCAAGAGGCTTCATTTTACAAAAGGTAATATGTGCTGCAACAGACTTCTTACAGGGTACAACTAGAAAAGAAGAGGAAGAGACTTCTTCTAAGTGTTTATTTTTATGCCCTTTCTAACACATATAAACTCAATCTCTTAATTACATAGCATATACAATGTTAACAGAAGGGACGTGCACGACAAGGTCACTTGGAAAAGTTGTACCATTATTTGTGAAATGCTTGAACGGTATCTCTCAATGTTGTTGTATACTCGGTACTTCTAAATGCATTTTGTAAATCTGGTGTATTGATTGTGAGAGTTGTTTTCTGTTACATACTTTTCGAACTCTAACCATACAAGGAAAATTAGGACTATTCTTCCCCTTTTCATCCCTTCTTTTGCATCTTTAAGGCCTACATCTGCACGGAAATTCCAACTGATGTATGATATATTAAGGATATGTGATTTGGATTTTTGCCTAAAAGTCTATTTTGACGTTGTAGCTTGACAAGCTAAATAAAATAAGAGAACTTGTTAATATGTGTATTTATAAGTTGAATTAGTTCGGAATAGTCTGGTGGATTGACTCCAATGCTGAAACTGATTTCTTTTTAGGAAAATATTGTTCTGCAACATAAATAATGCCAGTGATCTTATCGAACTAATAGCTGCAACTGCGACAGCTGCATATTTATTCAGTTGTTATTTTAAGTGAATTTGAGTTGTTGATAACCATGTTTATTAACAATAGCCGTTTTTCTATGACTGAAAAGCTTCTAGAGAAGAAACTACTCTTCTCTCAAAGCTGTGGTTACAAGATTACAAGAGAAGAAAGGAGGAATGCATCTGTAGGTTCATGTGACAAAAGTATGATGGAAGTCTGGTGCTTTCCCTGTGGAGATGGATGAAATGATTCTCCTTTTGTGGGTGAATTGCTGCGACTAACAAGAGAAGGTTAATATTAATTTATATGCAAGAACTATTCTTAGTAAATATTGTTATTTACTATTTCCAGCTAAAGATCATTCAATTTTCTACTTGCTGATTTTTTTTAGTGGTTCATTCTGAATTCTTAGGTGAGCAATGATGGAAACACGTGTTTGGTCTATATGAACAAAAAATGTCAGGTCTCTCAATAGAATTTCAAGATTTTCATCCTCAGATATCATTATTTCATGTAATTGAATTGCATTTGCTCATACACAGAGATGAAAATACTAACTTTTTGTGGAATAAAAAATGGTTGCATGTTGTGAATTTGTTTATGTTGTTTCTTGAATATGTAATAAAAGAAGAGAAACAAATGCTGCTATAATTAGTATCATGCTGAATTATTTCTTTGGTTTCTTTGAGTTGGAAATGAAAAAGAGAAGTGGGTGAAGTAGTTTGGTTGGTATTAGTTTACCAGGTAAATGAATATATAAAATTATTGCTTTTTCTTAATTAAAATGTCATTTGAGCAATTTTGAACAAATCAAGTGGGTAATCATTATTAGACCTCCGTTATACATTTTGGTTATTCTTGTTAGAAGCGGGGTTCAAGCTAAGCTAACAATTCAAGGTGTGTATTGTAGTATTAAGTTTCATGGTTATTATCTTCAGGCAAGCTGCAAAAGATTAATTAACAAGAATTCCAAGTGCAGCACCTAAGGAATTCTTATCATTTTTTACCTACTTATACCTATGTAGTTTGTGAACTGGAATTTTCTTATATTAACTGTATGCTTTTATTCTTACTTGCTATTGCACCAGAGCTATAGTGTGGTCTTTCTATCACATATCATTACTTAGCAATATTTAATATGAACATCTTTTTACTAAGAAATCAAATTTGGAATCAGCTAACATGGGTCTCTTTGTCAGGTACACAACAATGATGTTGAGATTGTAGCGGTAGCAGAAGGTTTTGGTCTTTGGTCTTGAGGATGAAGTATTCACATTTGAGATGAGAAATTATCACCAGCTATATTACTATTTCTGTTGGAAGTTCATTTTCCGAGATAGAATATATATAGGTGAATTGTGTTAGATGCGGCATGAAGAGCTTGTAACATAGAACATGCTTGCCAATTATAGTATTAACATATAATTTCTTCAGGTGCCAATAGTTTTATTGCAGACTACAAAAAAAAAAAAAAACCAAACTACATTACAGGGAACACATCTTATATTGTCATTATGTAGATTGTATATATGTAGAAAGATTACTCTCATGTCATTTTGCGAGCACACAACACCCACTGAATCGATATTTTATTAAATTTTGTACAACTTGGATAACTTTTTTCCTAAATGTATGTGCTATATAGTATGAAGCAATTAGTATGCAATGTTATTTATATTTGAATTGTTACGATGTACATCTTTCAGTCTCTTCTTTTGTCGTTCTGCAAATTCATATGCCCAGTATCAATACAAAAGTTATCAAGATTAATTAATTCTCTTATTTAAACAATCAAAATAAGAATAAGTATTCCTGCTATTTTAATATTGGGCCCGCAGTGCGGGCCATAACCCATCTAGTTCTATTAATAAATCCGCAATGATATTCTTTTTTCGTTGTGAAAGGTTCATCCTGAAAACTATTTTCCCCTGGCTTGTGATTTTATGGTACTTGAAAACCTGAAAGGATGAGCATATTCTGGCAACTTATATCATTTTGGACCTCATCAAGGAAGCGACATTAGCCCCTGCTACATTTTTTCTACTATCTGGTAAGGTGTAAGAGTATTACAACAATGTAACAATAGAAAATGTTAGCGAAGTTGTTCAATATTAGCTGAAATATCATGGATTTCTAACAAGACACAAGTACCACACATACATACCCCTTCTTTCGTCATGTACCTCTTACTGCTTATGCGTTGGTGAGTGTATTCATACACCCTTGTTCGACAATAGGTTGGTTGATATATAATACAAGTGAGAGAATTCATACTCATGTAAATATAACTTTGCCTTCATCTGTGGAGGTTAGAAATACAAGTATGCTTTCATCTGTATTGGTGTCTCTATCTATGAGGAAATTCTATTGAAGTAAGAATGAACGGATTTCCTTTATGATTGGTACTTATATCATATGAAAGTACTTTATTTTGTTCTGCTACTATTCATTTCTAAGGTGTGATGGTGTGTTTATATATGAAGCATTTGTAAAATTCTTGTTGGATTGATATTGTCCTATTGAACTTTAAGGATGATAAGAAAAACAATAAAGAAAACGAAAGTTGTTGGCTTTGGCTTTTATTTCCCTCCTTTCATTAGTTAATATCTCGATTATGCAGGGGCAATAGCAAGCACATTTAAGAAATGAAAGAAGCAGAAGTTTGGATGGTTGTAGTATATTGATATCTTGACGATCACGGTCATGGACCTACTTTAAGGATATCCACATGGAGAATTTTAGTATATCTAATTGATGGTCATGTCTTTATTATCGATGGTTCATCGAACTTCGTATTTGGAGTCCATGTGGGCTTGCCGCTTGATACAACTTATGGATTTTGAATACGAGAAACTACGTTGGAGACCAAGAGATTGCGATATGGAAGAGTTTCAGGTGCGAAAAGGTACGCTTTTGCAACTGATTACTTTCTGATGTCGGGAATGTGTATAACCTAAAAAAACTTCTTATATATGAACTCTATTAAAACCATCTCTCTTGTTCTGTCTGTCTGGCATTAATAGTACTGTATCTACCATGGCTTGTAATTATTTTCCAAGGGCAGAAGTGTAAGTTTGAGTAAACCCAAGAGATTAGAACATATATCTCACATTAACTGCAAGAATTTGTGACTGTGAAGCTCCCCTATGTAGTGCATCCTAATGTCTGAAAAGAGATGATTTAGTTTGCACTATTTTTTGGCGTCGTCTAAGTTTTGTTGTTACATAGAATATGGCATTGCTTTCTCCCTTCTTCAATTCTGCACCTGATATTTAATTGGCTTTTACTTACAAGGAATTTACTAAACTTGGTTGTGCGTCCAAGATTGAAAACAAAACTCTGGCTTTTTTTGGGATTCCCTCGGTAGACAACAATTTCAGTCACTTCTGTGTATGATTACTGGTGGTGAAGACAGACCTGATGTTCTTGACGTGGGATGTGAATATGGTCTTGTAAGGGCTTGTGGTGCAAAATTAAACAACTTGATGGATAGACTTATCGATTTCCGAGTACCCAAACAACTACTAACTTTACTTATGAGGACATTCTTTTGAGGTAATTTAGCATAATTTTATCTTCCATGCCATTAGATTGGTGCACAGGATATAAGTTATGTTAGTTACTTCTCAGTAGACCTGATATACTCACCCTCCATTACTGTTAAATGACTATGTTATGAATTATCATATGGAGAGATGAAATGATATTATAAAGGTGATGTTGTAGGAAAAGTTGAACTACTTTCAAGCGTCTTGGTTTTGTTTATGAGTTTGTATATAGAATGCCTAACTTAATTGATAAGTATCTTTTGTCCGTCATATTTGTGCTTTAGAACTAACTAATGTATGATTGTTCTGTATGAACTTTTAACTATTTAGAGTAGGAGTAGTAATTACTATCTAAAACAGTTTGAAACAAATATTTTATTCGTAGAAATTCAGGAAATTATGCTTATCGGACAAAAGTTGCATATGTATTTGTTTGGCAACTTTGCTCACATTGCTTACTTTAGGGAAGCGTCTTCCTGAATGACCGTTCTCTGAATTTCTCATGAATCTTCTTCTGTTGTCCATTCTATTATCGTCGGAACGTAATTTAAAATTCTCTTGATGTCGACCATTATCAATCACTCAGTCCCCAATTCATGTTTAGTTTATCTTGTTCACCAATCCATACTGGTTCTATTACTCTGGGGTCTAACTTTTCCTTATGGTAGTTGTATTGGAATCACGAGCTTATTTCTTGAAATGAGGATATGACTTCATGGCCTATACTCTTTTGTTTTCTCAAGGCCTGTCACATTTCGTATTTCCCTTCACTTGACTATAGACTCTGTAATACTGTCATTTATTTGATTTACCGTTGTCATCCATGTATCACGTCTTACTCATAGTGCTCTATTAACTCTCTTCTTATTTCTTGCTAACATTTTTGTAAATCACTTTATTCCGAAAATTTCAACAAGACATTCTTTTGCATTTTAGCTCCCCTTGCCTCATCCCGGGGCTCTTTGTTTGCCTAACATTCTCTCCCTACTAGGGACGGGAGCCATACTAAGGTAATATTTATTCATTCTAGGCTTCCAGTGCCTATGTTTGTAGTACTCATATACAGATGTACTATTTTAAAGTGCACCATCTGGGTGTCTCACAAGGAGAATTACTACCACGTTTGTAGTATCCTTCGAAAATGTCTGCTAACGCTAACAATCCATCCAACATATTGGGTTACTCTAACCCCAGCCGGATCCTGATATCCGTCCTTCTCTTAGTCTACACCTGTTATCCCCCAATAGGGTATAACTGAGATGGGTGTGGCCAATTATACATACCTCTGTTACTATTGAGGGTAACTCACAATGCTTATATTTTTCTGCCAAAACTGTAATACTGATAATCTTCATTAACTGGGTGCCTCGTACCCTTCTTCACCTTGCTCATTTTACTTGCTAAAACTTGTGTTTCCCTCCTTATTCTTTTTTCTTTACCGTAAGAGTGGATAGGCATTCTTGCCTTAGGGATCCTTATCAAGAAGCTTACACATCTTCAGTACGCACATGATCTGCTGAAGCCTCACATTTACTTATCATGATGCAAAGTCGAGTTCCTCTGACTCAACTCTTCTATAGCCATGTCTTTTACCAACCGTCTTTGTGGATGTAGGTATCGTCTTAATTACGAATAAAATAGAAGTTAGGAATTTGAATTCGTACAACCGAGCTCTTCCACTCGATCTAGAGTAAGAAGAAAGACTGACAGTCCTAAATGCCTGTAGCCTCCTGCTTATAAGTGTGGTGCACGACACACCCATAAACAAGACTCTACTAGACACGACTTGTAGACTCTTTAGACAGAACTGCTCTGATACCACTTTTGTCACGATCCAAACCGATGGGCAGCGAGGGATACCCGGTACCTTACTCAACCTAGTACCAACATAACGTATCTTTCATATCATTCTATCATAGGTAAATGAACCGGAGTAAATCATGAGGGAATGCAAACTTATACATATGAAGAACGGGCCTATAAGGCCGGCATGATTCTTTATATACTCGAGACATAGGCCGACGAGGCCCATACAAGTATCCATATACATGACATCTGTCTACAAGCCTCTAAGAATACATAATATCACAAAGGTCGGGACAAGGTCCGGCCATACTAATCGATACATGTACCAACATACTGACCAAAGAAGCAACTCCGGAGCAAATGGAGCGCACCAACACCTTCTACTGAGCTGATAGCCTACTTGGAGGATTCTCGACCTACTTATCAAGACTTGCGGGCATGAAACTCAGCGTCCCCAGGCAAAAGGGACGTCAGTACAAATAATGTACCGAGTATGTAAGGAATGAAAATCAGTAAATAATAGACATGAGAGAAACATGGAGTTAAAGACACAACATGTAAGTCTGAATAACTCTGTAAATAGTGGAATACTCATAGTGTTATGCATATGCATATGAATGTCATGTCGTGCATAGGTACATGTGTTCATAGCATCATTAAGCCTCTGAGGGCATCCCATCATATCATCTCGGCCACTGTGGGCAAATCATCAACGTATACCAGCTGATCAGGTGGTGGTGCGTATATAACGCCGTAACCTTTTCCCATATCCCATATAACTATAATATACATATATACATATAAATACGCGTATATAACGCCATCTGGTCATGGGTCAATGTACATGTATAAATGAATGAAATGCATGAAAAATATGTAATAATCTCAATATTCCATCCGGATAAACTTTTTCAACTGCATATTATTCTGAGACCCATGAACAGAAGATATAATAATATGTCACATGGGGAATCAATAACACAGAGACCCCTAGTATTTCTTTAAATAGAGTCGTTTATGAAAACTGTGCATTTGCTCGTTTCTTCTGTATAACTTGGACCATGCCAAAAAGAAAGAAGGGATGGCCTTAACCTACCTGAACCGATTCTTTTTTGCGAAAACACGTAATGGCGGATCAAAATAGGAAAAAATTTGTATGGTATTCTTAAGAAATATTATACCGTGCTTCCTTAAAATTGCATCTTTTGCATAATCGGATCTTGTATGAATTTTTCCGAAGCAAATTTCACGTTCCATCTCCTGCGTTCTTGGTCACTACTGGATTTGGTCTTGATTACAAGACATCATCTTTTGT